TAATATTTTTAATTATTGATTTGTTTTACTATTTTTCGGTATTTGAATTTTTACAATGGATAAGTTTGTATCCAAATGGAAGAAGTCGGTTTCATCTTCATCAAGTAATGTGGATTTGAATGATAAAGATAGTGGCAAAAGACAACGAGTAGAAGTGGAATTGACGGAAGATGACATTGTTGGTGATCCGGGATTGCAAAAACCTATTGATGATTATCCTTTTGCTATTAGAGATGAATTGAGAAGACGATACTTGGCAAAAGGTCCCTTTCAACCACATGATCACAATTTTCCGAAGTCTAGTTTTGGTAAGAATATGAGATCGTTTCAAAAGGCATGGTTTACGCAATATTATTGGCTCGAATATAGTATTCAGAAGGATGCCGCTTTTTGTCAAGTATGTTATTTGTTTAAAAGGATTAATACTCGTTGTGGAGATGATGCTTTTACTGGTGTTGGTTTTAAAAATTGGAAGAATGCCTTAAATAAATTCAAGGAGCATGAAGGGGGTTTAAACAGTCCACATCGTAATGCTATGATTCAGTGTTCGTCATTTAGAGACCAAAGGCATAATGTGGATTATGTGTTATCACAAAAGGGCACTCAAATGGAGATTGACTACCGCGTTCGGCTAACGGCGGTTGTGAAAGTTGTTCGATTGCTTTTAGGGGGAGGTTTGCCATTTCGTGGACATGATGCGTCAAAAGATTCAATACGAAAAGGTCATTTTCTTGAAATTTTGTATTGGTATTGTGAGGAGAAAGAAGAAGTGAAGAAGGTCATGAACTTGAATGCTCCCGGGAATAATTAGTTGACTTCTTCAAAAATTCAGAAAGAAATCATCAATGCTTGTGCTACAGAGGTGAGGAAAGTCATTATTAATGAAATTGGAGACAAGTTCTTTTCTATTTTGATCGATGAAGCTCGGGATAGTTCAATAAGGGAGCAAATGGCCGTCGTCGTGAGATTCATGAACGATCGGGGAGAAGTGATCGAGCGATTTTTGGGAGTGGTCCACGTTAGTGACACCTCGGCACACTCTTTAAAATGTGCAATTGATGAATTTTTTGCAAGAAATGGTATGTCACTTTCTAGGCTTCGAGGTCAAGGTTACGACGGAGCTTCCAACATGCGAGGTGAATTCAATGGTCTTAAAACTCTTATTTTACAAGAACATAAACACGCATACTATGTTCATTGTTTTGCTCACCAACTTCAATTAGTGGTTCTTGTAAGGATTGTGAATCTTGTTGGAGCTTCATGTAAAAGAATGGATGCTATTTGACAAAAGCATTACGATGACCTTGTACAACGTATTCAAAGTGGTGAGATTTCTACGGGGACCGGCTTGAATCAAGAAACAAGTTTAGCTCGACCGGGTGCTACGCGTTGGGGATCTCACTATAGGACAATCAAGCGGATGTTGGAAATGTGGGATGCGGTACAAGACGTTCTTGATAATATTGAGAGTGAAGCCACAGATTTCCAAAGTCGAGGCGTTGCTAGAGGTTTGATTGCTAAATCAACAACTTTTGAATTTGTATTCATTGCTTATTTGTTGGTGACAATATTGGCAAAAACAAGCGTACTTTCGGCAGCCTTACAAGAAAAAAGTCAAAATATTGGTAAAGCCTTCGTTTTGATTAGAACGTTGAAGGAAGATTTGGGGAAGTTTAGGGAGGATGGTTGGGAGGAATTTCTTGAAGGCGTCAAGGAATTTTGTTCTCAAAAAGGCATTTTGGTGCCTAATATGGAAGATCATTTACCGGGTCGGCGTAGATCTAAAAGACAAGTGGATGACCAACCAAAGACTTATTTGCACTTTTTTCGACGAGACATTTTTCTTCCGGTAACTATTTTTCTTTAATTTCATATTAACATTTTTTTTGTTTATTATAGTGTTAATAATTAGCTTATTTTTCTCAATTTAATAGGTTGTTGATCTTATCTTACAAGAGATGGCTAATCGTTTTGGAGAGTTGAGTACGGAACTTATTTCGTGCATAGTCTGTCTTGATCCTAGAGATTCTTTTGCTAGCTTTGATCATGAAAGACTGCTTCGTCTCGCTCAATTATATCCAAATGATTTTGATGATGAGCTCAAACTGAAAGAAGAATTAAATCACTACATCTCGATAGTCACAATACATGAGCGTGCATCTTTCTCTGATCTTCAAAGTATTGGAAACCTTGAAAAAAGAATGGTTGAGAGAAAGTGGCACACTGCTCTTAAGTTAGTTTATCGGCTTATTGAGTTGACACTAGTTTTGCCCGTCGCAACTGCTACTGTTGAAAGAGCTTTCTCCTCGATGAAGATTATCAAGAATGATTTGCGCAACAAAATGGGAGAGGATTTTTTTACGGATAGCTTGGTGTGCTACATTGAAAAGGAAATCTTTATTAAAATTGAAAATGAAGTCATTTTGCAGAGATTTCAGAACATGGCGTCCCGAAGATTTCAGTTACCGCGTGCCGATCTTATTAGTTCCCCTTTGGTAGGAAGCTAGATTGTATTTTTATTTTGTATAATGTTATTTGAACGATAATTTAAATAGTTTGCATTTATTTTTGTGTTTGTGTTTGGTTTTGTCGTAATTTTTTTTTAAAGGCAAATTAGGCCCTCCCCGAAACGGGATCCTGGTTTCGCCACTGGGCGGCGGCGACCGGCAACTACGGGCGGCGTCGTGAAGGAAGGGTCGTGGGCGTGTGGGGAAAATATTGGTTTTAGAGGGATGGATGGTGGTGGGTCCCACCTGTGAGAGGGATTATTTATAAAGTCTAATTTACCTTTAATTGGTGTATTTGACCATAACATCTATACTTAAATGAAAAGACATTCTATTTACTACAATTAGTAGTAAAAGAAGTTAAAGGTAATTAATGTATTCTATTTCCATCAAGTATGTCATTTAATTATTTTAGTTAATTGTTTTATCTCATAACACCTTTTTAGTACAACTTACCATGATTTTTCTATTGTGATTAAAAATCAAATTTTACGTCTAAAATCTTGTGAAATTATTATTAATATTTTTATAAAGCACATATTATTTGTTAAAAAAATGTATATATATAATACACATCACAGTGCCATGGTAGATGATTTAAATTTCAACCGACCAAAATGCCAATGATTTAAATTTGAACACACCTATGCGTTTGACCCAATGTCTGGATGATTTAAAATTGAGTCCATAAAAAATTATTTAAATTTAAACACACCAGAAATTTTATGTACTTTTTATTTATAAATATATTGAAAGTGGTATTTAATGGTTGTTATATAAACTATTTTAATATATTTGCAATGAATAAAAGTTTTAATGAATAATTTGTCATGTTATTCATAATGTTTGTGACTTATGAGACACGAACATATAACTCCATACATATTTGCCAGAGGGCGGCTTAATAATTTTTTAGACTTAACGTTAATTAAAAGAGGTAAAAAATAGATAATAACATTATTACTTTTTAGACTTAAACGGACAAGGCTTTTTAGACTTAAACGGACAAGGCTGTGAAAATAACACATTTAATATCTTTATCTCGTGCATCGCACGAGGTACGTACTAGTTTATGTAATTTACTATATTATTAATGATTGACCAAATTTTGACTCTATTTTAACCATGAATATGATGTATCTAATGGACTAAATTCATTCTTATTTCTTTCAGTGTGCGCATTTTTCATTTGAGTGCACTTATATATATATATATATGTAAGGGATCATATGAGAATGATATATAGTGAAAGAAATAAGAATGAATATGTGCCATTAGATCTACCATATTAGAGGTTATGATCAAGTCAAATTTTAGTCAATCATTAATGACAATAAGGTAAATTAACATAAATTGTGATCAAATATATACATTTGACTAGTAATTAAGGGCAATCTGGACATTAAACATTTACCACACATGGCATTAGGCCCCACACACATTAATATCTATCAACACTCTCACTCTCTCTCTCTCTCTCTCTCTCTCTCTCTCTCTCTCTC